CATCAAGTGTACAACAAAACAAAGAAATAGCAGATACCTTGGGACTAATCGAGTGTTGTAATATCCTCACCATGTCTTTGTTTATTTGGTGACGACAAGGAAGCATGAGAGTGAAACTAGTTAATCTAGACAATTCCTTAGAATTCCAGAACATGTCTTCTTCCTTTCTATAGTCCGTACAAATACCGGTTCCAAATGGCCCACCTGTCAACAGAACATTTGTTTGGAAGTTCACGACAGAAACAACTTCACCACATCCCTCACCTTGGAAACTTCTTATCTTCTTCCTCGTCCTCCAAGAATAGCTTTTGCTTTGTTTTTGTGTGGTAGTTAATTCTTGCGTTCTTCTTCAACCACTGCGATGCCTTAATAACAAAAAAAAAATCACTAAAAAGGGGACGTTTTTGGGATAAAAAGAGTGGCTGACAAAAACAGTTGGCACGACACGTGTGATGAGCCCAGATGGTTGATGATCTTCTTTTGTCGAGCTAGTACAACCGCAGGAATATAAAAAATCATGAGCATGAGCTCGTGTATCATGCCAACATAATTCATTAGGAACTTGACAATACTATCCTTCAACAAAATACCATATTATTCATATTTTTTTAACTTTTTTTTCTTTTCTGGTATTCCGACATAAATTGCTGCTTTTGGCTTGACATCATGAGGCCTTTCTTAGTTAATGGGAACTTTATTGTCTTTTTCTGAATGTTTTTAAGCCTATCCATCAAGATTATCCGCTTCATGTATGATGTCATTAGTTTATATTATTATCAGGGAAGTACAATTTTTTTTTTTTTATTGAAAGGGAGGGAGCAGAAGCTTTGGTTTAAAAAAAAAACAGATGCTTATAGTATCATTAGACATAATGTCTCTAATGTTGAGAGGATGGTTTCAAACTCAAAAGGAAGCATTATTCAAAAAAAGGGTACAAGTGAAATGATCAATCTCCTAATTGACTTCCATACACGTATGATTAAAGAAAACATATCATTATCGTCGATAAATATATTATATATCAATGATGATATTGTAGTTGGCATGAGTACGAGAAACTTCATTGCAAATAATATTGGTTGTTTTTTAATAGTTAGTGTCCATAATTAAGAGACGTCGAATTTTAAAATGTGTATTCTTTTTCATCTTAGGAAATTCCTATTTCGTTTTCTAATGACAATCTCTAATTTTTGTTTTGGAATGTTCTAATATAAATTGGACATAAATTATATAAATATTTCTCTTAGTCACGTTTTATATGATAAAATAACTAGAATTAATCTTCCTCTTTACCGTCATTATTGAATTAAACGATGGTACTCATAATTTATAGTTTCTCATAATTGAAATCTGTATATTATTAATATAATACTCAAATTTATAACGAAGTTTTTATGTTCGATACATTGATATGTAATATATAAATTAATAATAACGATATTGATAAATATAAATAGTAATATCGTCTTTCAAAAAATACTCAAAAATTTGTTAAGAATTGTATCAAATAATTTCATAAAAAAAAGTAGATTTGCACTAAAAATATTGCCATAGTTTGCCTTACATATAAAATAACTACTTTATCACCTATTTTTTTAGTTAAAAAAAAAAAAAGAATTGTGGGGCAACGACAAGAAAATCGAGGGGCAAGATTGAAAATTGGTATCCCAACTTCCAAACAAAAATCTTTTTTAATATCTTCCCTCTTGCTAACTACCACCTCATTAATTCTCTAAATCTTGGCATTTTTAATGTTGCTACCATACAGTCTTTCATTTTCAACAACTTGGTGTAGTTAGAGATGCTTGCGTGGTCTCATCGCGTCCATACATGTGTCAGCCAATAACTGACTACTTCTTGAAAAAGATCAGCCTATCAGAACTAACTCCCGAACAAGTCGTCTCGAAAAAATCAACATCGACATGCCGCGAAAAAACGTTTCTTCATTTACATTATTACTAAATTGACCCTCTGAAATTTTATCAGATTCTAGAACAATATATTCCCTTTTACGGGATTACCCTTCCCTTTCTTATTCTTTTAGTTTCTTTCTCAAAAATCGAGTTCTCTATGAACGAATCATACAAGTTTTCTAAAATATCCATACCAAATCAGATATCGAAATACTATTAATCATTTAATATCCATTACTAATGAGTTCCAATCGAATTATTAGGATGCGTTAATTAGTTTCAATCCATTAATTATTGGTCTTATCTGATAATTTGTTTGGTATAAATATTTAAAGATAAATAGTATCTTTTATAAGGTATCAAATAATTTCTTTTCATTGAAAAGTAATGCTATTCTTAAATAATGATTTTACAGAATTTACTTATCTGAAAATATAATTGAATTTATGAAAGTTACTAATGAAATCTACTTGTTTAATGTTTTACTTACTCATTCAACAATTCATATTTTTTCGTTAAATAAAATTTGTATAACAATCATGTAAAAATAGCTTCTTTTTTTTTCAAATACTATTCATCTAAACTAATTTCTACTATTTATACGGACTCATATGCACTATTCATCCGGACTCATTTTTACTATTTATACATACTCATCTACACTATTCATTTTATTATGTTGTGATATTTTTGTAGTTTTTAAATTTTTTAAAAAGCATTTATTATGAAAATTTTCGTAACATTACAATTTGGTCTCTTTTTTTAAACATTGTTTTTTGGGGTTGTAATTTTTTTTTTCATTTTGGTCCTTACATGCTAAGAGGAGAGAGAAGGGAGCGAGAGAGAGGCCCGACGAGGCCCATTCTAGCTACTCCGACGGTTGAGTTTGGCACCACTTTATTCGTCTCAAATAGTAGAATCTATTTGTGGTGGTAACGAGCAATGGATTGGTTAGAAAAGGTAGATCGAGATTTAAAAATATTTTGAGTTTTTTTATTTGATTTTTTTTATGTGTTTTGTAAGCATTAAATTGAGTTTTGAGGCTCTAAACAAGTTTTTTCACATTAGTTGTGTGATTTTGAGGTGTTTTTGGACCAAAAAACATAGCTAAAATTAGTTTTGGGCTGTCAAAAAATAAGAATCCCAATTTTTTGAGAAGTTTTTCAACGAAATTGACCTCATTGAAAATTGCAATGGTAGTCGAAACGAAGAAAAACAGTGTTTTTTCTTTGTTCTATGCCTAGGCCAGCATGGGTTTGGTAGACTTGGCCTCGAGGGTCTAGTCCTTCGGGTTCGGATGCACGGGCCTAGTCCTTTAGGTTCGAGTGCTCGGGCCTATTGCTCTAGGCCTAAGCTTGGGCCTAGTCATTGTTTTTTTTTCTCTAATTTTTTTTAATTAAAAACTTTTAGGTAGAAAGATTTTTAGAAAAAATAATTTATGAAATAAGTTTTTTAGTTAAGAATCCATTGATTTTGAAATTTGTTTCTTACATTATTATAACTTTTTTAGTTAAGAATATGGATAGAAATAAATAAATAATATTTTTTAATTGAAAATATATGAAAAAAGCATAAAAAACAATCATTCAAATACAAAAATTTTTATTTAGTTTTAATTTGATTTATTTAGATAGACGCACAATATAACTCAAAGTATCAAACTAAAATAATTTTTTAAATAATTTTATGTATTCCGTTTGACCCATAGCGTAATGCGGATAAAAAAAAACTAGTTCTTCACTAAATCATGTGCATATATGTGTTTTTTTATATACTTTTTGTATTTTAGTTTATTTTCTTTAGTTTAATGGACGATATTATCGTGTTATTTTTTATTTTTATATATCAAAACTAAATTTACCTCTACAATATGAATTAAAGATAAACCACTTAAAATAAAACTGAAATTTAATAAAAAAAAAGTTAGTTCACAAAGCTTAACTCATGAAAAAGAGTTTGCTCTTTTAACTGGAAGATCATCCTCCAAAGCTAGTGTTGGCGAATTTAACTAAAACATCTTAAAAGTTTATTTTGCTTAAATGTTAGAAGTAAAAGAAAAGGAATAATGTCAATTTTTTCAAAATTCCAAACTAAAATTTCTTCTTGAAAATGTTAGCTATTGAATATATAATAAAAATAATGTTATTCTTATATAATTGTCTTATAAAATTCATTTATCAAAAAATATCAAATTCATTTATTTACACAATGCTTCCATGGCAAGATATGATCTTATGGAATGCTATTGTATAATTTTCTTACTTACGATGCACGTTCTAAATATAGATTATATATAGTGGATATTAGAATGCATTCACTCCATTAATTTATAACCATATATATAATCTATAAACTTGATCATTCATATAAGTCTTGAATTATGATTTAAAAAATCTCATTTGGATTCCTTCAATATTAAATATCAACAAAGTAAATCAAATTTACCAACGAGACATAATTCAATTGATTTTAATGTATTCTTTTCTTTCTCAACATCTTGAATTCAAATATTGTTCAATTTAAATAAATAAAATACAGAATGGTGAATACTTGGAAAGTCTAGAGATATTTTCGTAAATATACATGCTAGAATATCACCTAATCCAAAAAAAAAAACCTCCAATCCCATGGCGGGTTGAATAAAATTTGACCACCGCCCATTCAATGCATCAAATTCTTACATTGATAACATCACTGGAAGACCAAATATAAAATCTTATACCCATCCAAATATTGAAAATGCTAAGCAAATTTCCAAATCGGAGGACATATTAGTAAAATCAAAAAGATTCAAAGCAGAAATTCAAAGCCAAAATGGTAAATTTAACGCCAAAAGATGGGATAGTTGCCGCGTAAATATTCGAAAGTTACCTCCACTGACCCAAAAAAAGAAAAAAAGAAAAGAAAAGAAAAAAGAAAATCCGTCTATTTAAATCCCATCACTGACCTCGTTCTTCACAAACTTCAATTCATAAACTTCAACTCTCTATCACCTCTCCCTATCTCTTACCTTTCTCTCCAAGAAACCAGCTGCCAATTTCTTGGCATTTACAAGATTTCAAGAATTTGAATCCCAAACAAATCACCATGCCAATGAAGAAATCAAGTGTTTTTGCTGCTTCTGTTGCTGCAGCTTCTGCTACTGCCCTCTCTGTTTCTTCCTCTTCTTCTGGTTCTAACTCTGACGTCAAGGTAAGACAGCTGACACAAAATTCTGGGTTTTTGCTTTCTCTTGAAATTTTTTCGTGGGAGTTGGTTTCTTGTATTGTTACTCTGTTTTTGGGTTTTTGAGTCTTCCCCTGTCTTCTTCAAAAACTTTTATGGGCTTTTTTACCCTTAAAGATTCCGCCTTTTATCTTCTCTGTTTCTAAAAGTTTTCGGTCTTTATTGGTCTCTTCTTGTTTCGTTTACAGCAAATTCAATTCCTCAATTTTGATTTTCTTGAAAAGTCATGGAATTTTAACCCACCCCTTTTCGTTCTTGATTTTTTATTGATCTAGTTCAAGCTTAGTTGTTAGTTTGTGATTGATTTTGTTTTTTTTCAAAACTAGTGGGCTTAAAATTTGATTTTTTTTTCCTTTTTAGGAAGCTGGCTCAAACCAAAATCAGCAAAGATCTGCTTCAATGGATAAATTTGCACCAAGGTTTGATGGGCTGAGGTTTATTGAAACACTGGTCACTGCTCACAGATGATGAGAGATTCAACATCTGGCTTTGATAGCCCCATGGATGATATTGATTAGCAATCCAAAATTTAGCTTAGTCCCCATCTTTTTTCTTTAATTCAGAGAGAGGGGAAAAAAAAGATGGCATAAAGAAAGTTTGACTTTTTTTCTTGGGTGGATATGATTAGGAGAACAACTGTAATGCTTGAGCTGAAATTTTGTAAAATAGTATTTTCACTCAAAAAATTGTTTGTCCTGATCAAGCTCCATGGCTGATTTTCTCTGTGTCATTGTCATTTTTTTTTGGATTTCCACGTGTCAGGAAATGATTGCTCAGCAAAGTCTGCCAAAGTCATGTTCTAATGGATCTCTTTTACAACCACATTTTGCTCCCATTTCAAGCTAGGCAGGCATCATGGGATTATATATGTGGATGACAAAATTTTGGGGCACCACAAGATATGGTTCCAATGGAAGTCCCAAAGGGGAATTCCCAAATTACAAAGAATATTCTCAAAAGTTGAGAACAAAATGCATTATCCTTGCAATAATTGTTGTAAATTGGAGGATGAAGGAGCCAAATTCTTGCTTGAGGATTTGGGGTGATCTGCCAACACATAAAGTATGCCATATTCTTGATAAAGCACCATGCTTTTGCTTCTCCAAAGACATGAGGGTAGTTTGCAGACAACATTGGAAGAAGCTAAACAAAATTTAGTAGAACAAGAATGGGATCGATTGTCCAAAATAACGGTTTAGTGGTGTCTTATTCTTAAAAGAGAATAGTAATAAAATGAAGCAAAGATCTTGAATTTGAACCCAACTAATGGGAGGAGGAGGGATGAGATGGGGTGCAATTTTGAATGGTCAAAAGAGAAAAAGAAATAAAAAAGAAAGAAAAGTGATGGAATAAGTACATGCATGCTTTTGGTCCCTTAAAAATTGGAATTAATTATTCTTGATTCCCTGCAATAGTATGTTAACGCAACTTTAAATCCCCGAATCAATACATTACTTATTTGTTTTGGTCTTATATTTTTTGTTTCGTTTTTACTGATATCGACAATAAAAAATTTGATCTGCCAACATATAAAGTATGCCAAATTCTTGATAAAGCACCATGCTTTTGCTTCTCCAAAGACACGAGGGTAGTTTGCAGACAACATTGGAAGAAGCTAAACAAAGTTTAGCAGAACAAGATTGGGATCAATTGTCCAAATTAACGGTTTAGTGGTGTCTTATTCTTAAAAGAGAACAGTAATAAAATGAAGCCAAGATCTTGAATTTGAACCCAACTAATTGGAGGGATGAAGCCAAGATCTTGAATTTGAATCCAACAAATGGGAGGGATGAGATGTGCAATTTTCAATGGTCAAAAGGAGAAAAAGAAATAAAAAGAAAGAAAAGTGATGGAATAAGTATATGCATACTTTTGGTTGCTTAAAAATTAGAATTAATTATTCCCTGCACCAGTAGGTTAACGCAACTTTAAATACCCAAATCAATTCATTACTTATTTGATTTGGTCTAACATTTTTCAACTCTACTATAATTGTTTAGTTTCTGCTTATTCGACCATGATAAAAATCTTCGAATCAATTCATACATCAAGTAAAATTAAATATTTTATTCAAACAATTTTTAAAAATCAATCCTTTACATAATTCTAGTAGATAATAGATCTCGAAGTCTGAATCACCTTTTGTTTTTCAATCTCAAGACACAAAACTTATCTCTTGATTTCCAAAAGCTATGGCAATCATGCCCCACTTCGCAAAATGAGTGGCAAAATTGGATATGCATCAGAAGCATTTTGAGTGAACCAAGTTGATTTCAACATTCATGGACAGAGGAAGATGATAAACTGGCTGACCATGCCACTATTAAAGACGCAAGCAAGCACAACTACACGAGCCATCTTTAAGACAGTGTCACCATTCACATTACCATGCTTTTGTTGTTTGCTTCTTTTTCTTGATAGCGATGTTGATATTTGCCTTTGCTTTCTTTCGGTGAGGTAATTCATTGAACTGTGTTTTCTTTCGAATTAAAGCATGCTCCGGGCTGATGCTGCAGAATAGTTGCAGTGGATTTGATGTTGTACTGCCAACTAAGATAAGAGTTTCATCGATTTCTTTGGATTGGATTTTTGTTCTGTTGGATTAGAGTCAAGTCGAAAATGAGTAAAATTCGATTTGGTTTAACCGGGATCTGGTGGGGGATTCACCTGTCTCATCATTCGATCCATTCCATTCGGTTTTTCCACCTTATTTATTTTGTGGAGTTTGTAATTTTATTTTTCAATATAATGTACTGACTTTTATGTTCTAATTCACAAATGATTTTTATGATTTGGTTTGAAATTTAAACTATTTTATAATTTATAAATGAGGATATAATTTTTTTTTAAGTTTAGATATTTTTATAAAAAAATGATTTTTACGAAGGTGGAGTTAGGGATCCTATGGATACTCGGTGAATAGAAAAAATCTTCTATTCAACTTATTATCCAATATACTAAAGCAAAACGATTTTGTACTGTAATAATGAATAGTGTTAATCATTATTTATTATTATAGTGCTTTGATTTTTTTTTTTGTTTATTGTTCATACGAATAGTAAATGACTTCGTCATCTTTTTTTTTTCCTTTCTAAACATTGAATTTTTTTTAAAATTTTCATCCGTTACTGTTTACATAAACGAGTAAACGATGGCCCTCTTTTTTTTTTCTAAAAATTGATTTTTTTTTAATTTTTATTTCTTAATAATGTTGGATGTTAAAATTTTAAAAGAACCAACAATTAATTGAGTGTTAAAATTTTAAAGAAACCAATAATTTATTTTCTTTATTATTTATTTCTAAAATTTAAAAACATAAATAAAAAAAAGTTAAATATAATTTTTTTAATAAAAAAATTATAATTATTTTTTATCATAAAACATATTATTAAACTGAAATAATTTTTTTAAATAATTTTATATATTTTATCCAACTCGCGAGTGTAGTGCTAGACAAAAATCTAGGTTGATCTAATTGAAATTAGAGACGAATAATAGATTTAAATATTTTAAAACGGATCAAAGTAGAGCAAAATCGGACTCCAATCCGATTTATTCCTTTTTACTACTACTACCACTACGAATCTCATTCAGACAATTACAATGACCAGAATGTCAGTTGCTCATCTTATTTGTACTTTATTTGTATTTTTAATTTATCTTTTATGTGATACAAGTCGATATAATCTGGCGGTTTGTATTTGATAGCGTGTTTTAATAAAAACATGTTTGAGTTTTAATAATTTTAATTTATTTAAAAATTATATAATAAAAAAGAATTACCTTTTATTTTGTTACAGAGTCCTTGACATGTAATTTTACATTATGATAAAGTAGATTGTTTTAAGCTGTCAGGCTTTTTTATATCCTTTATAGCCTCTTTAGCCACTTCCACAAGTAGTTTTTGCTCTGCCCTTTTCGTTGGAAGCAATGAATGGGGGCTAAAGGTGATGATGACTCGAAAGGTACAAGGAATTTGCTATTGGACCAGTGGAGGGGTGATGTGCTGTTCAAGAGGGGAATGCTTTTCCTTGAACAGTGAAACTACAGTGGGAAAAAAAAAATGGTGATCAATAAATCAACTAATGTAACATATAAAGTTTTTGGTGCTTCCTTCAAATGACCTGTAAAGAATATTAGTTGCAAACTGGTATAAAACTATCTTATATAGTTAACTAAAGGATTTTGTACATGCCTGACGTCTCGTATAATTTAAATTTTTTTTATTGCGATGTTAAGTTTTTTTTTATATATATATATAATTTAAGAGTTTTACTTTTCTGTTATTATTTTTTTAGATCTTAATATGTCACTTAAGTACAAATGACACGTGATAAATTATCATTAATTAAAGCTTATGACGTGTTATGATGTTGTTACGGATCCTAATATGCTACGTAAGTATACATTACAAGCTCTAATCAATAACAACTTATCACATGTCGTGATGAGTTCAAATTGCATGGTTAAACCGATGATGTTACAAATTTTTATTGATGATAGCTTGTTACGCGTGCTTACGTGATAATTTATCATTACTTAAGGTTTGAAATAACAACAATATAAGAATAAAATTATTAAATCGATAAAAAAAAGTTCTTGATAAAACAACGTTCTTAACAAAAAAAATCAAAATTGTATGATATCTTGATACGTGTAAAACCCGATATCTTGATACGTGTAAAACCTGTTAACTGGAAAAAAAAAAAAAACTTAGTAATCACCAACAAAAAGACAAGAGATCATGTATAAGGGATGGACAAGGTTATGGAAAGAAATAGGTCATTCTAGAACATAAGTCCAATTATTTGGGAAGAGAAAGAGAGAAAAAAAACCTACCCTTATCCAAAGAACATTGAACCTTTCGGTTGGCAATCTGATAGAGAACAGAACCCAGAAAGTAAGGGCCGTGGGAAGAAAGTTGTAAGACTGTTTTGGAAGCAATAATAGATGTTGTCCAGATGCCTTTTATCCAATTGCCCTATCATGAGTGGTCCTCCCTCTAAAATCCATTCTTTTTTAAGAAAACCTAACACATGATTCTTGATGATTTTTTAACTTATCCTTGCTACAAAAATCATGTTCAGTTCACCCTTACAAGTAAGTATTATATATATATATATATATATATATATATAGAGAGAGAGAGAGAGAGAGAGAGAGAGAGAGAGAGAGATAATACTATTACTAGATGTGCATTTTTGGCAACATCAATGCTACTGCTGTATGACATTGCAGTTCTAAGTGCATAGAGAGACAGCAGAAATTGACCTAACACCAGAATCTTCAATTATATCACAGGAAAAGCGAACAGATTCCCGAATACCGATACATTTTAAATCCAATCTAACAAATAACGATATAACTTGGTAAAATAGCAATGATGCATGCATTAATAAGTCAGGAGTTTCTTCTGAATGTCACATAGCTGCATAGGTTACAGTAAAAAGGTACTGCACATGGCTTGTCGAAGTCGAAAGAAACGGATGGTGAAATATGCACCGATTAATAGTTAAAAGAATACCAAATAGTAGCACAGAGAAACAATAGTTTGATGAAGGAATACTTTGGGGCCGGAAGAGGTGTCAGTTAGGAAATGAATGGTTATCCACTGTTAACAGTCTAGAACAATTGAACCAACAACGATATGAGTCCTGCTGTGAGCATCAACAATGAGGATTGAGTGGCTGCAATTTGAACCCCTCCACTCTTTTTAGATTGTTCCACATTTTGGCAATCAAGACCATTCTTATCTTCTCTGCACTCGTTGGCAAACAAGCCAGGAGGGTATTTCCCATAGAGGTTTATGTAGCTAAACATGGTCGTAGCGCAGTCGGATTCGAGGTCATTAATGGCATCCGTAAAAGGGCAAGCAAATTCCTTGAAAGCATCACAACATTGCTTAGCTGGGTATTGGGGTCCTTTGCACTTGTCTGTGAGGACACTGTAGTCCAAATTTTCAAAGCTCACGTTGCAGGCTGCAGATAGTGAGAAATTGAGGAGAACATGAGAGTTCATAGTGCCATATTTTATTGATAATATAACTCCCTAACATATCAACTCTAAGATGTTGTCTGTTGGTTTAAGTTTCTTCAGGAGAATAGTCCATCAGAATAGAAATATATAGGCAAGTGATTCTATGTAAATTGTATATAGTTGATCACCTTAACAAATGGGATGCAACAGAAACATTCTATGTTCAACATTGCTAATCAAGGAATTAAAAATATCAGTTCAAGAATCAATAACAAACGATTTACAGAGGGAGGTTGGAATGGAAAAATGTTTCGCTTTTGCCAAAGCAATCATTTACTAATCAAAATGAGGCCTAACTTTCCTGTCATTGAAATAATAATGCAGGCAAATGCTAAAAATCTGCAGAAACAAATTAACAGATCTCTCCATATCCTTTTCCTTTTCAATCATGTAGATTTTTATAATACAGTTTTCCCAAAAAGAAAAAAGGAAAAATATAAAGAAAAACTTACTTTTTTTCATCTGAAGGAGGGCACGGCCAGAACCTCCATGAACATCAAGTGCATCATCTGCATTTTTCAATTGTAAGCAAAGGGAAAGAAAACCAACATGAGAACTAATGAGATTAAATCCAAAATTTTATGCTCATACAATATTATGATATAATGTGGATGGTATGATTCTTACTGGAAATGAAGGAGGAGGAGGTGGCGAGTCCAGCCAGGAAGAAGAAGCAAATGAGATAAAACCATGAATTCAAGTTGCAAGCCATGCTTCTCTCTTTTTTATCTTTTTATCTTTGATTTATTAATATTTGGAGATCTAGATTGATCTCTAGCCCTCCTTAGACCAGAAATGACCCTTCTTTTCTTTTCTTTTAGCTGCCAGAAAACAGTCTCGGCTTATTTTTCTGCATTTACTATTTTTAGCCAGAAAGAACATGATTACATGAGTGGTGGCGGAAGAGTTTAGGCAAAGAACCACGTGAAGTCTTAAGGTGGCAAGCAACCGTCAGCTTTCTAACAATTACGCAGGCATATTGCTTTATTAGTTGGTTATAAATCATTAAATTTAACAAATAAATTTATAAATTCATCATACCCTCCTATTTATAAATCAAGGTATTTATCAGAAACACAAGAGTGCTTAAAGCTAATTTTTCTAATTTTACTACTAGGAAATTGAAAAGAATGTGATATAATAGAAGGAAGTAAGGAACTATAGGTCTATAGGATTGCAGCAGTTATAAACATTTCTCATGCAATTCACATCATTAACAAATGCTAAATGTTGCGAGCCAAAATTGCTGTATTGTATGGATTAGAAGATCCAGGATCAATTACAGTGTAAAAATCAAATCAAAGTGAATCAACTATCAGAAGTACAACAGAGAAGAAAAGACACTACATTTTTCTATCCTTTCTAGTTCCAGCTGTTTCAGCACATTGACACTTAAGCTTCCCACCTCTCCCTCTCTAATTGTCTTCCAATTTGACACAATAGGAGAATAGGATCTGGGAGCTGATTATAAAATAAGCTACTAAATGACTTCAGTTAGAGGCTGTGTTCTCAGATCTATCCAGTATCCCATCATTCTCTGAATTGCAATGTTGAATGAGAGATTGTCGAGAAAAACCACATGGTGCAGCTTAGCAGTAAAAAATTGCGCATCACAAGGCTGCATCACGGCCAGAAGAGAAATTTGGTACCCTATAACAAAAAGAACAAATTAATGTTAAGGAGGTTCAACAATGTTACTTGAAGAGAATGGCCGGGCATGCTGCTAGGGGTGGAAGGGGCAACGAAGACCCAAAAAAAAAAAAAAAAAAAAGAATTTTGTGACTTTGTATTCCATTCCATTTTGAGAGTCATAGAAGCAGTCAATAATAGCAGCAATGACAACAGGATTGGAAAGATATGAAAACCAATCATCTGTTTATAAGCACCCTGAATGAAAACGATTTCAAATATATAAGCACTGATAGAGTACCTCAGAACTTATAATAATTTCGCCCCTGATAAATTATATGAATTTTTGGCTGGCCTTAACAGAAGTTGCTGCTGTGCCTCACTCTACGGGTTATGGAACGGCCCATCCTAAGACGTCGAGCAGTTAGTGCTTCTAATAGGATGTCTATGGCATCATCTACCGCTTCAGTCTGTTTATCTAATCCACTGGAACTGAATTGTGGAAGTAGTTGTAGCTCCGAGAGGAGGCCAATGGCTGCTGCAGCTGTACAGGTACGGTCCCATGACGGCTGGGGTCTGCAGATACATGCCATTGATGCTTATTTGTAAGTTTAACATGATGAAAAGGCCTCAGCAAAGGCCAAAGAGAAGAGAAGGGAGCGGTGGGGATGCGGATACAGAAAGGATAAGGGCAGAAGCCCCTACAGAAGAGATCAGACTACATTTTATGTCTCACCGAAGTTTGTGCATTGTAGATGCACCTGCAGACAGGGAGATACAAGGAAGATCCTCCTCTCCCCATATTGACTTTGTTTTCTCCTGCACAGAGAACACACAGGCCAATAAAGCTTCTGAACAGCTTAAGTTCCATCAAAATGAACATGCTCATCTATACAATATAAGGGTATGGTAGCAAAACCAGTATGTATTTGGGTGGCTACTATTACTATTATTGTTGATCGAAGTGGAGTTCTCTTAAGGACCAGCGCCAGGGTTCAGAAAGTTATACACATTACATTTGGCATACAGAATAACACGAGATGAAAGAAACAAACATGCAATGTTTTTCTCTAAGAATTGTTTACCCAAGAATTGTAGTGGCCAGACGCTGGACAAAAAGAAAAGGAACAGAAAAGGTGCTTTAAAGTATCACCTTTAAACGGTTGAACATTGCAGCAGAGTTGCTCCATGTACCATCAATCAAAATGAAATTTAAAGCTTTATCTGCATTTTTCTGTGAAGGAGAATCAATATGAGTATTACTATGTAGTCAAACTGAAAGCAGAGAGTAGAGGTTTCAAACTAAGAAACAGAAATTTCATCTTGAAAGGTAAGGAATTAATTTTTTTGTATGCACAGAATACTCCATGTTCTGGGATAGGTTCGTTGATTTAATAGCCCTGATGTTTTAAAACCATCAACAACAAAATATAAGGTTCTTACACTAATCCAAGCAGCCAACAGTATTACCAAACAAACACAATAGTTGCACTAAAGCTGAGAGAAAATAGTACCATGGTCAGGATGCATTCTGGATCAGCTGAAGTTTCCTGACAAAAAGCATCCTGCACTGTCTTTGTTGCTGCATTCTTGTTGGGATAAAGGCACCAAACCTTGTCCTTTCCTGAAATTCCAGTCGAATACTGTCAGAAGTCAGAGGTTCTGCAAGTTGAATATGTGGAGTTGGGAAAAAGTAAATAGCAAGCAGAAAGATTAAACGAGGAAATAACTTAGCCACAATACCTTTGCTAAAAAATGAATGCGAATAAAGTCCCGGAATGTAAATACAAAATCTTTTTGATCAAATGACTATGCATCAAATAAATGGTGACTGCGTAAAAGTTCATCATAAAGTGCATAAAGAACTCGTACTTCTGTACGTCTTTTTGGGCTAGCAGAAATAAATTCTTATGGCAGTCAATAGAAGTGTCAGACACAAATTGACATAGGTGTTGTATCATTGTATAAAGCATAAATGGAACACACCTGCAAGCTTAAATGCATTCCACATTATTTCTTCATCTTCAGCAATCCCATAGAGGCATAAAGTAGCTGATTCAACACCAAATACTTGCCATAACAACTTTCCAGTGTTGTTTTGTCGTAGAAAATCCTGCAACAAGTTGATCGAACAATTGATGGTCATAAAGGAAGTTAAAACTTTCAGGACAATAGCTAATGCATGAGGTGCTAACCTTTGGATGCATATACAACCAAAATCTTATGCCATGTAGAGAGCTAGGCTTGACTTTCGAACACATACAATCTTCTTCTAGAGGTAGCCAGCACTGCAAATCAATATATTAATTCCCATTAAAAGGCCACACCAACGCGCACAAAAATGTCACTATACCATTGAACATCAATCACAAACCTTCTGGCAGAGGTAACCTCTACTTCCAAGCAAACGACACGCTATTTGCCGAGCTGAAAAGAACTGGAGTTTCTTCTCAGAATCACCTAAAGCCTGATATGTTGCTCTATGTTTCTTGTCCTCTTGCATTCTAAAATCCCCCTAACATTCACCACATAATATACATAGAGAGAGAGAGAGAGAGAGAGAGAGAGGAGACGAGACTTTCAGCCATGTGAAGCAGACCCACTAGAACCACATCACAGCTTATCAAAACAATGATTATCATCACCACAGAAAATCTCTATAAACTCTCATTTGCTCCATTTGATTATAATCAAATACCAGGCAAAATAAAAAAAAGAACCTGTCTTTCCAATGACAAAAACACAAACCTCAGCGAATTGAACCCAACACAAATCCAATCACAAAAACTTCGTTTCATTTAGGTAACAAACAACATAAAACATAAAAATCAAATCTTTTCCACTCTTTTTCTCACTAACAAAATTATTACCTGTAATTTTCCACGATGGCCACTAAAGCTCATCTGGGTCTCAATTTTTTTCTCCAAAAGCTTCAAATCCGTAACGATCTCCACAACTTTAGCAGGCAGTGGAGATACTGCACCCCAACCTTGCCATTCCTGTAATGTTATAGAGAAACCATCACTAACATCTTCGACATTAGATTTTGTTAGAGCAGAATGTGAAGCAGAAGTCGAGATGGTTCTTGGTGGAGATTCCATGTGGGTTTTGAGAGAGAAGGCTGGAAATGGAAGAGAGATTTTGAATGTCAATGGCCTTGTTCCTGAGACTGAAAGCATAGTGGTTTTTGGTGGGTTTTTGTTTTTCTTTTCTGCTTAGCTTTTGGTCCCTCTTGACACGCAGCGTTTTCCTCAAGCAAAGAATGTATTTCAGACTTTCAGCCTATGAGCCAGAGATTGGGTTTGGATTGGGCTTGGAATTGGGCTTAGGCTTCCATTGAATTGAAATAGAGATGGAAATTTGGTCCCGATACTCGGCATGATGGCCCAAAACAATCCAATATTGCGGGTTTTGCCCTAAGAGCCCTGTTGGTGTCATAAGGAGGTCCGTTGCCTTCCTACGCAAATTTATCAATATGAATAAGGATCCATTAAATCAATTTCTTATTTATCCTAAAAAATATACGATGTCTATATATTTTAAGAAATTATTTTTTAAAATTATATGTGATTCATGTTTGGTATATCTGTATATTTAATATTCATTTAGTACTTGCAAAAAATAATTTATCAAAAAATTTATTTTAGTTCTTGTATTTTTTTTTTAAATATAGTTTGGTTCTTAAATTAATATTTTACAATTTGGTCCTTTATTTCTACGTTTTTTGGTCCTCAAAGTTTGCATAAAATATTTTGATCTTTATTTTATAAATTTTATACAATAAGATCCCTATATGTTATTTTTAATAATATATACTTGTTGTAGATTCTTTGGTGAGTGCCTCAATTAAGAGGACTTTAAGATTAAAAAAAGAAATACTAAAAGTGGTTGCAAGGCAATCAAGACTGATTTATCTCCCCAATTGAAATTGAGAAACAATAATTTAATGACACGAATAAAATAAAAGTAGGATTATTACTATGGACTATCTTTTAATAGAAATTTTGAAATAACATGCTACCATTATAGAATATAAATTGAACAATTAGATATGTCTTAGAATTGATATAAACTGAATTAAAAGTTTTCTCACAAACAATAACATAGAAACTTATAGACATCGGAAATAAAAATAATTGATCCTAAGAGGAGCTAGTTATGCGGACGTAGCGATGGCAACCGAATCGATGACTATGTTGACTTGCTTCGTTAGAACCTACTAATTACTCGTCCGAGTATTATGGTGTTTAGAGACTATAATCACTTGAGCTATTTATATTTCAAGAGAATTAATGTCGAGTTCTTCGTGTCCTTCCCCTTAATTATAGCCTAAATTTATAGCCCCTCTAGCTAGAAAACTGTCTTCTATAATAGACATGTTCATGAATTGCAATACCCATGTTTGTAATGCTCAACTTTTTTTTATTATTGCTCTGTTATAAACTTGTACGTCTTTCACTCATAATGCACTTCTTTTTGAAATTAAAATATGTTTTGGTCTTTATTAGACCTATTCTATGTATGAGTCATTATGAATTTTAGTGTATCTTGATTCATATTAATGAGTTTACACTCAAATCTCTTTTGGGTTTTAACCAATTTATTGGACTGTCAAGCTCAAAATAAATTTGAATACAACAATATTAATAGGATATAAAGTGAGTATCCGTATCAAAATCATATAAACCGGTAAACATATGGATCTCCATTAAAGGTTTGAAAATGTGAACGTAAGATTTAAAATTATTTTAAATGAAAATGAAGAGATGGGTATGAAAAGTAAGATGTGTCTGTGGAGGCAATGAGGCCTTGAAAAAGGAGGTTAAATTGTTTCGCATTTGGGTAATGACTGTTGAAGCCCACTAGAACCTATTTGAAACAGTAAGAAAGGAAAGGATATTGGACCTGAGCCTGGGTTCGGCCTGTTTTCCCTGTGTACGATAAAAAAAGCCTGGGTTCGGCCTTGGTAAGGAATGCTTCTTCTTGTTTTTTTGTGCTTGTTAGAGTTGTCATTCGGAGAATTAAGGTTTTTTTTTTTTTTTTTATCGTAAACATGAAAAAATAGGTAAGTTATTATATATTTTTTTTGACATTCACAAACATTGATCTCCATTAAAAAATGATTTAAATTCAACTAAGTCTTTTCATTATTTTATTTAAACAACTTATTTTACAGATATTGGCATCTTATAAATATTATTATTTATGTTCTAAAAGAATTGTTTTATTTTTTATTTTTCACACAGATTAAAGATTAAAAAATTATTAATTATTATGTGATATTAGTTTTTTTGTTAATATTTTTCTAAAATTCTTTTTTATATATAATTGTATTTGAACAAGCTTTTACGAAATGAATATTAATTAGAAATATTTTTAAAAAATACAATTTAAAATTTTATCCAAATAAGTATAATATAAAATTACTCTATTTTATACTCACCCTTTACGTTAGCCATTATCCTATGATGAGTTTTGTTTATAAATTAAAATAACATTTCTGATTTTGTGAAAATTTTTCCTTTTTTTTTTTCCCACTTTATACCATCATAAAATAAGATTATAATTTTGTAGTCTATACCCACAGATTTAGTAGCAATTGTGATTCCTCTACTCAAAACCTTGGGGATAGAAAAATAGTGGTTCAAAAGTAGTTTGCCCACGAAAAGAAGGCAAAGCTCAGACTTCAGAGTTTCAGGCTGCTTTCTCCATCCTCCTACGTACCAACCAAAAGCAAACCGTAAAAACTAATGTACTAAGTCCAAGTACAAACTGACATTAGTCGTTACTAACAGAGAGAATTTAGCTTCACTGCCCACTTTTCATAGCTTTCTAGTTTGTCCTGCCGCCGCCTTCTTTTTATTCTTCTTCTCTCTCCACCTCTTCCATACTTCCTCTCCGAACTAACTTTCCCTAAAGATTCCAAAGACACAAACAAGGCAAACCCACTTTCAAAGAAAAGCTCTCAAAATGGACTCATCGATGGTCCTATCTTCTTACTCTTCTTCACGCTTAAAATGCTCCCTCCCTAATAATACTCCGTCTATGATGATCATGTCATCACCTCAGCCTGCGGCGGCGCTTCCTTTCCCAGGCCGCCTTGGTGGGGCAGCTTCCTTTGCGGAGTTCAGAGGATTGAGGATCCAAATGGGTTCAAAGTTGTCAAGTTCCTTGGTCTCGATTTGTACGAGGAGGAACCCTAAAGTTTTCTCTAGTATTGTGTCTCAAGATCAGGAGATTGATTTTGATAGTAAGTTTTTTATTTTCATTTTTTGTTGATTTTTATTTTGGGTTTCATTATTTGGCCTTGTTTTTTTCCAATTCTAGTGATTTTGCTTGATTTATTGTTTGGGAATTTGTGCTATCTTGATTTGGGTAATTGCACTTAAGTGAGTCTTTTTAGTCAAGGTTTTGAGTTTTATTTGATCACCCTTGATTTTTAAACACGATTAAATCTGATAAACAACCTTAACTTTTCAAAAATGAAATTTAAATTTGTAAATTGGGTTTAAGTAAATTAGAGTTTGTCTAGATGTCTGATAAATGATCTCTTATTGGGTTTTAATTTGCATTGGAGAATGTTAGAAAGGGAGCTGTATTATCATTAAAATAGGAGATTGAATCCTTAGTTTTAGTGGTTATTAGGGCTTGTCTAGATGTTCTTTGTTATCAAGGAATGAACTTGATTGGGCACGAGGGACCAATATTTGCAAATAGGGTTTAAGGAAGAATTGCGATTCTCAAAAAGGAAAAGAAAAAGAATCACATTAGAGAGTGTTAAAAAGAGACCTTTGTGATCATCAGAGGAGGAGATTGAATCTGATGTATAGTGTTGTGACAAAAACCTGAAGAGGAGCAAATGTTTATAATTAATGGTGGGCACAGAATGCATGTGCTAGTAATGCATCACAATGTAATGTTTGAATCCATCTATTATAGACGGTTTACAATCTTGCTGCATTTTGCGAGTGCAGAGTTTCAGGTCTGAAGGAGGGAGTTTTTTCGATTTGGGGTTGGGAGAGAGGTGGGGAATGGAAAGTGCAAGGTAGAGAGAAATCTGTTAGTTTTGAAAATGAACAATGTCATTTCCTTCGTCTAGGACTCTGAGGTTGACTTGATCCTAAGCAGAAGTACTCGGTCAGTGGAATATATTTTGAGATTCAGTGTTATGGGATGGCAGAAATTTATATTAGTTTTTTAGCGTGCTTGAAATAGATTTTCTTCTTTGTACAAAGATTTCAAGTTTCTCTTTCCATATCTTCCAATTTGCTGAGACTCGCAATTTTTTATTTTCTGCATATGCAAACCAAAAACAAAAATCTGTCTTTTTGAAATTGGCTTTTATATTCTCTGGGGTCTGAAGATTCAAAGAGTGAATTTAAACAAAACCAACTGTCTTTTTTCTCAACTAAACGAAGAAATATATTTATGGGCGCCACCTTTTTTCAGTATTACAAAAAAAAGGCAAAAAAAAAAAAAAAACATCAATGAAATTAAGCACTTATGGACACATATACATAAAAAGCAGCGGGTAATGAGTTTTCTCAAATTATTATGTGATTTCATCAAATCCAGGAATGTTTCCCAGTAATTTGTTTCGGTTTTGGATGATATTGGGTGTTCAAATGTTTTAAGTCTATATGCCCATGAATGTGCATATTGCAAACCTCGGACACTTTTCAATAAATTGTTGCTTGTTCTTTACTTGATTAGGTATGGTTTTAGAGAAACGAGCACGAGAAGCATAACAACAAAGACAAGAAACTACTTATTAAATTCTCTTGATTTTCCTTTCGTTCATAGAATATCTAGCCACCATTGAAACAAAAATTCTTTTCACGGTACATTTTTCTTCAAATGCATTCCTGATAACTGGACAGTAACTGTCCTTCAAATTTTCATCTTTCTACATGAAATATGATTTCTGGAACTCTTGCATTATGTTTCTGTAAAAGTTTAAGCCACCTCTTTCTTATCTAGTTATCCATTCAAATCTAGAAATACTGCAGTGTTGCCTTCTATTTTTGTTGTTTGATATTTTTTTTGAGCCCTATGAACTTGGTATTACTAAACTTAGCTACTGCATTGAAACTTTGTTTGGCTGGACAAACTAACGCTTGCTCACTGGCCTAGCAAGATCAAGTTTGATCATAAGTGAGAATCCTGCATGACAAATTCAATGACAGAAATGCGACATTTTTCTTGAAGTTCACTCTGTTTTAAGTTTGTCCTCATTGGTTCTATTTTGTCTGTGTATATTGAACCTTTTATATGTGTGTGTGTGTATTTCACAAATTTGTTACACCTACATTACCTTCCCAATCCATTGGTTTACTAGGAAATTCTAGCCAATATAAAGTGAATATTTGGAACAAATTCATACCTGAAATGAAAAAAAAAAAAAAAAACACTTCAACTGGCCTGTCTGGGGCCAGAATCTCCCATGTCTTTAAGGCTTAGCTTGGTTTGCAACATCACACAAAGGTTAGGAAATCCTGGATTAGGGCCTGCATTTCAGATATCTATTCAGGTCTCAAACTGGCCTAAATTCCTATGTTTACTGGAACCCTCAATTCCTCAAATGGCCCGCTGAACTGATTAAGCTTGTTCTTTCCGAATCATTCCATGCATGGTCTTTTGTTTTATGATTTGCCATTCTCTTCTTTTACTTGTGGTTATCTGTTGATGATAAAATCTTATTTGAACTTGGGCTGTATTGTCAGCGTCTATTCTACAATGTCAACCCTGCCCCTTCAGACTCTTCCTAGTTGTAGTGGTTTCTTCAAAGCAGTAAGAATTAAGTAGGCTTGTTTAGTTCCTTCTCTGGACTCATTTTTCTTGGGCATTTGTCCCACCTACCAACTCTTTGTAAAGCAATGGCATCTGGATTTCTGACTTTGGTGTTGATGTATACCTCAAAAAATTGCCCTGTTGCTACCACATTCCCCAATAAAACCCTCTAAATATCCTCCAGTCTCGTTAAAATCATCTTACCAATAACCAGTCATGTAAGGAAACTAATTGAGTCTTTAGCTGTTTATTCTGATGCTTCTCAGACTTTGGTGTGGGACAGGATGATATTTCTCCTTGTAGCATCAGAAGGACCTAAATGGCTTATTGTAGAAAGGAAATGAATGGATGAATGTAAATTGTTAAACAAGTTAACTGGCTTCCCAAAGTTTTTGAGAGAGGAGAAAAGGTGATCGGTACGGGACTGAACATTAAGCTACTGTTTAGTTGTATTTTATTTTATTTATTCTATTGGAGTTTCTCTCAAAGAAGTTAACATATTTATGAAAAATCGCTATGGACCTTTATGCAGGAATAGCTTCCAGGTTAGAACTTCAATTATGGTTATGTGTTCCTACTTGGCTGCGAAATACGATGAATATTTACGCTACTAATCTCTGTTTCTGGTTATCCACAGCACTTCTAATCATGTTGTTAATGTTATTGTTTCTATAATGCACTCCAATTAGTTCTCTATATCACAGTTAAATTGACCACTTTCCCTTGATTTTCAAATTTCAGTTCCAACAGTGACTGATGAAACATGGCAGACGCTTGTCATTGAGGCTGATGGGCCTGTGCTGGTCGAGTTTTGGGCTCCATGGTGTGGACCCTGCCGAGTAATCCATCCAGTAATAGTTGAACTAACATCGGAATATGGTGGAAAGCTGAAGTGCTTCAAATTGAATACTGATGAAAGTCCTTCTACCACAACCAAGTATGGAATTCGAAGCATTCCAACACTCATGATCTTCAAAAATGGGGAGAAGAAAGATGCAATTATTGGTGCCGTGCCCAAAACCACACTAATTTCCAGTATTCAGAAATTCTTATAGAGGTGGAGGGCAGCGTAATTACTTTGAAAGAATTCTAACTTTTTTTATGTTCCCAGTCGTTTTCATTCTCTGAATTCTGAATAAAATCTACCACCTCCTAGTTGTGAAATTTTGGTTACTTCATTGTATCCAATCTTTTCTATGCTACTTCTCTACCTCGATGATAATACAATTTGGCGAAAGATTTGCTTCCGAGAGTGGCGGTGAAAGATTCATAAGGGACGCCAACCATGAAAATTTGTCAATGCATGGTTTGAAAACGAGAGTTGATTAGGCCTGGCATGGACCCAGGTCCAGCCATCTTTTGCTCCACGAATTAGTGGTTTTTCATGTTTTCTTCAAAATCTAGAACTTTTGAATTGTTGACTCAGTTCTTCATCTAGATCCACGATTGAATGGCATGGTATGCCTTGTGCTATGATTGGTCTGGGGAAAGCACAAAAGTACTCCTAGTGTTTCTTTCATTATCTGGCATTGAAGATGGAGATCAGGTTAAGCAAATTCAAACTTGGCCATCTTTTTCTGGGCCATTCTGCTCTCTCTGTTTCTTGGGTGGAGCTCTTTCTTTCTTGATTTTGATAGGTTAGACCAAGCAGCTTTCTTTAGACCCACGAATGGTGTGGGTATGGAGCCATTAGCCGCTTTTTGAGTGGTGATTGGAAAGAGTCAACACTGCTGGGTTGTTTGTGCACCAAAGCCATCTTGTGAGAAAATTCTGTGGCGATAGAACTGGCGTGCGTAGCTGATGCGGACCTCCAGGCCTTAGAATGCATGGAGTGGTATGAGCGCGGCCTGAAACTGAAAACAGACTCGTAGGATTGAAAAAAATTATCGGTCAAATTTTGAAATTTCTTGAGCGTAGTTCAATGCGAAATGGCCAATAAGTTAAACTCATATTATGCTATGAGAAGATGTGATTTTAGCCAAAAATGACTGCTTAGGCCTTCTAAATGGATTTTGTTTAGCCAAAACAGTATTTGTTCCTTCTTTTATAAGCTTCCCCTCCGGCACTAACTGTACTAGATAGTTGGTCCAATCTACAAAACCCAACGCATGTGTATTTGCCTGTCCATGTGGGTTTGGATTTGGTTGCCTAACCATGACACTGACATCCATAAAGATACAATCAACGAAGATGCAACTACAGGTGTATTGGATAATTCCTCGAAAAATGGACAAGAGATGTGGTGATTTGCGGACAAAAAGAAGATGTGGTGACTTGGTCAGACAAGGGCCTCAGTATCATGATGGAATAAAAAGCACTCAAGGATTGAGAATAATTGCTTGCTCCCATGAACAGGACAATAAAAGAAATGACTGCAAATCTTGTCTCGTGGCCATGGTGAAAAACTGGAAGGGATAGGTAACAAAATTCGGAACTTGGCATAAAAGGATCGCAATGAATAATAAATTGGGAGTTTACCTCATTGCATATTGAATTAATAGACAAACACTCACTTCATATTAGAAGCAATCTCAGTTTTTTTTTTTTTTTCTTTTCTTTAAATGGCCATGCTATTATCTAATTACTTGGATTTTAGACAACTATCCACATTAATTAATAAATATATTAAAATAAAATAGGCTTTCACGACAGCAAAGCCTTTTTTAGTTACTGTTTTGTAATTTTTCTTTTATTTTTGTTGGTGAAGTTTATCACATTTGATTTTTAGAATTTCATTATAGCTAAGCTCTTTTTTTAATCACTATTTTGTATTTTTTTTGTTTTAGTCATTGAAATTTTATCATATTTGATTTTTTATCTCTGTAAAAAATATTTTTTTTTAACTTTTAATTAAAATTTTTGTTCTGTTTTGATCCTCATTTTGTGATTATTTTTTGGTTATTGAAATTTTATCATATATGATTTTTATTCCAACTATACTCAAACCAATTTTTTTTTTTTTTGGCTTTTAGTAAAACTTTGTTTTCTATTTTGGTTCCTGTTTTCTGATTTTTTTCTTTATTTTTTTATTAATTTTATCATATTTGATTTTTGTCTGTTATCTTATGCATAATGAGTTTTTTAGTCTTATTATTTGTAAGCCCTTTTTGGCTTTTAGTGGAAGTTTTTTTTCCTTATTTTATGATATTTGTTTTGTTTTGACTATGTAAGTTTTGTCATGTGTAATTTTTGTCCTTATTTTTTTACAAAATTGATTTTGAAATATTTCAATTTCATCTCGGTTTGACAAAGTTTTTTTTTTTTTAATCCTTTTGTCTTGAGTAGTCCCTTTTTATTTCATTAACAAACTACGGATGAAGAACACACCGTGAAAATTAATCATTTAAAATTAAAAAAGCTATCACATCATTATTTTAATTATAATTTAATATATATATTTCTCATAAAATACATGTTTGTTTCAAACAACATCTAGGCTTTTCTTTTTACTTACTACATGGCAACACATGAGTTACATGCTTTGATCCCTCTATTATTTGAATTCTTTTGATGTGATGATTTTAAATAATTATTTTGAATGCAATATTTTATATGAATGAATACATAAAAATATTGTATGGCTCATCCTGTCGAATACGCGAGATATATGCTAGTTCAAACTAATATAGTAATAAAAAAATTTCTTTCTCGTGATCTCTCTTTAAATTCGAACCAAAACTATATTTATCTAGTTAATTGGATTTTAGATAAATTATCCATATTTGTATTAGTACTTTTTCACAGTCCTTCTTTCTGAATTGAGATCATCTCATATTTCTTTATATCATTTTTCGTCAGGTATTCATTAATCAACGTACAATATTATGATTTAATGATATAGATACGAGCTAGGGTTCTTCAGGGGTGTTTAGGGGGTGAGATAGTACTACTGTATATTAACAATGCTTAGATAGGAAACATGTGCTATTGAGAGAGGTTTGGGAGAAAGAGTAATCAATCTTAATGCGAGAGGATGTTGTGGCAAATATATATAGGAGAATGGAAATACCGTAGAAAGAGTGGTGATTGTGTGCTACTGTCCGAAAAAGGAGCATGTCCAAGGGTATGGGAAGCAAAAAAAAAAACAAAGAAAAAAAAGAAGATAATCTAGAGAGAGAAAATGTGAAGTTTAGAGAGAGAGAGAAGCTCTCTCAAGAGAAATGAATGATCAAAATTCTCATATGAGGTAATAGGTGGGATATTTATCAAAATTTTCATATCATTGGATTTTGAACGGGTTAATCAGCAGTACTGATCGATGAAACTATTAATTGGGATGAAACATGCAAAAAAAGTATCTGAAAACACGGCCTAACAGCTCAATAATTGAGAGTTCATGCAAAAAACTATTCAGTATTTTATTTGCTCACTTGCCAAATATTGTTCACATGTATTATTGGAAAGCAATGTCAAGGAACTATCATGTTAGTTGCTGCTAACACTTGGAAGAAACCTAATCTTTCTTTTCATATTAGCAATTAATAATCAAGGAAATTTTCAGTTCTTAAATATTTTCCCAGCTTGTCCAATAATGCAAGTTTCCATGCATGTTTTACGGATGGCTATTTGTTTATCCATTGCAGGCCATGGAAGCATCGGCTTAGCATTGATATTGTCGATTCTCAATCCATGCTAGCTAGGATATGTTTGGCATCCTTCATTAATTTTTCAATCAATAAGCTGGTACCGTATACACCTCTACTAGTAGAAAAGACAAAACTAGGATATTTCTTAAGTTTTTTAATAAAAATAAAACATTAAGGTGGGATTTTAAAAAAAAGAAAAAAAGAACCAGTTATTGATTATATGATGTTTTTGTTCTTAAGAAAAGGTGAAGGCCAATATATTCTTTTAAATCTTTGAAAATGCTTTGACATCTAAGATAAATACACATTAGATTCATGGTTTTCAAATACTCTTAGGTAAATTCCATACACTACTTTGATGATTCCAAAATGTTAGATAAATTCATACGAGATTCATATATCATAAATTCCATGCATTACTTTGATAATTTCCAAATCTTACGAGTCCATTGGCATCATCACTTTTTTTTTTTTTTCAATCTGTCCATATCAGAATTATAGAGAGACTCCTTTCAGAATAATAATAAAAAAAAGATAATAGTAACATATCATTGATTTTTATTATTATTTTATTGAGTAAATTACGCACTACGCAATTATGATGCTAGTAAATGGAACGCACGACATCATTTGATTGGACATTTCTTCTGCAACTAAATTTTTATAATATCAATCAATTGTGGTTTCACTATTACATTAGGTAATCCCTCTTATTCCCATAATTTCTCTGAACCACTTCAAAAATTTAAGATGTTTTAACAATGATTAAAATAAAATTTACAGATAACTTAATAGTCATATAAATTACTTATATTTTTATGATTAATCATTGTAAATGCCCATCAACTTGCATCGTCATTGACCCACTAACTTGCAAGTTACATCAATTGGTAAGTTCCATTAACTCTTGCCTAGGGATGGCAATGCGGCAGGGCGGGGCGAGGATCACCATCCCCATCCCTGCCTCTAAAAAAGTTTTTCCATCTCCGCCTCGAGTCTCAAACAAGATAGAATTTTTCATTTCATCCTCGCAGGGCAAACGGGGCATAAGCGGAGCAAAAATTATCTTTTTTTTTTTTTTTTGACAAACGATATCACCTAAGAAATTAATTACTTTGCTTGAAAAACTATAAACTTCTTGCCTAAAATGTAGTCAATAAATTTAAGGATAAGTTGTCAAGACATAGTCTGGATGGATGCAAAAGAAAGGATGATATCAAAGAAAAAACATGAGACAGAAGTGACTAAGTCACTGTACTCAAGGTAAAACGGGGCAGGGAGGCCAAATCCCATCCCCGCTCAAAAAAAATGCAAGGCGGGGCGAAGCGAGGCTGGATTGGGTCGAGTTCAATTGTCATTCCTACTCTTGCCAACAACATCTTAGAGGCATAGGTCTCGACTTGAATCACCCCAAACTTGGTTCCACCTCAAATCTTGAACGCTCTCGATCGACTTCTGACTCAGACTCT